TGCCTGCTAAACTGATGCCTACCTGATGACCCCTAGTGTTCCTGTTAGGGCACCCTGCAGAGTTAATATCTTGTACTGCCCCCTTTGGCAAGTATCACAGCTTGTAAACGCTTTTTGTAGCCAGCCAAGAGTCTTTCAATTCTTGTTTGAGGTATCTGCCCATTCTTCCTTACAAGAGTCTTCCAGTTCTTTGAGATTTCTGGGCTGTCTGTCACGCACTGCTCTTTTACGGTCTATCCATAGATTTTCAATTATGTTGAGGTCAGGAGATTGTGAAGGCCATGGCAAAACCTTCAGTTTATGCCTCTTGATGTAATCCCCCGTTGATTTCGAGGTGTGTTTAGGATCATTATCAATTTGTAGAAGCCATCCTCTCTTTAACTTCAGCTTTTTCACAGATGGCATCAAGTTACCATCCAAAATTTGCTGAAATTTTATTGAATCAATTTTTTCCTTCTACTCGTGAGATGTTCCCTGTGCCACTGGCTGTAACACAACCCCAAAGCATGATTGATCCAACCCCATGCTTAACAGTTAGATAGAGGTTCTTTTCATTAAATTCTGTGCCCCTTCTTCTCCAAACATACCTTTGCTCATTCTGGCCAAAAAGTTCAATTTTAACCTCATCGGTCCACAGAACTTGTTTCCAAAATGCATCAGGCTTGTCTATATGTTCATTTGCAAAGTTCAGAGGATGATTTTTGTGGTGAGGACGAAGAAGAGGTTTTCTTCTGATGACTCTTCCATGAAGACCATATTTGTACAAGTATCTCTTTATAGTGGAATAGTGTACCACAACTCCAGTGTCTGCCAGATCTTTCTGGAGGGATCGTGCAGTCAAACGTGGGTTTTGAATTGTTTTTCTCACAATCCTGTGAGCTGTTCTGTCTGATATTTTTCTTGGTCTTCCAGATCTTGCTTTAACTTCCACTGTTCCTGATGACTGCCATTTCTTAATTACATTCCGAACAGAGGATATTGACATCTGAAAACACTTTGCTATCTTCTTATAGCCTTCTCCAGCTTTGTTAGCGTCAACTATTTTCAGTTTCAGTTTTCTAGACAACTGCTTAGAAGAACCCATGGTGCTGATTGTTGGGGCAAGGTCAGATGAGTCTGGGCATTTAAAACCTTTTGAGATTGACATCACCTGGTCTTCCCAGACGATGATTGAGAACAATCCATGACACTGGCAGGTCTCAGCTTTGCAAAGGGGGCAGTGCATGCTATAAATTCTGCAGGGTGCCCAAATTTTTGCAGACGCCATTTTTTTGTTTTCTGTTTTATTTTTAAAGTGTAAATGATGGAAATAAAATCTAACTTTTGTTGACATATAAGAATGTCTAATCTGTAATTTGATGCCTTTTGGAGATTTTTCCATCTTTCCTTGGCTTCTTTATGCACATTAATAGAAATTTTTAGCTGGGGTGCCCAAACTTTCGATCCCCACTGTAAGCATTGCATATGGAGTGGGTAGGACAAGAAGGGGAAACTGAATGTGAGGGGATGTGCTTTCCAGAGCTTAGCTTGGAGTGTCATGGACCATGCTTTTCGGTTAAATAGGGGAATAAAGGGTCTAACAGATGACATTTCCACTCCATTCCTGTTGTGTCTGCAGGGGCAAGAAGTGAAAGGAAACTTCCCCAACAAACATAGGAAAAAATGAGTTTCTTAGAATCACATTTTTGATAGGAGCTTTCGGGGAGGAAAAAAACGCTTAATGCTCATAAATGTGCCTAATCACAGCATTTAAGAGCATTTGGCATTTCCAAGTGTGTGTTGAAAAATAAGCAACAGAGAACGTTTTGAAAAAAAAATGCAATTGCCCATAACCTCTTGTGCAATATGAGCCACTATGAGTATTTCTTTCTGCCTGAGGTTCTGGTGTTTTTTCTGCCCCTAGTGTGCATGGACCCTTAACTCTCCCTATTCAATCCAAAGCAAAAACTAAGTTTGGGCTATACATAGTCTATCTTGCCAAAAGTATTGGTACGCCTGTCTTTACACGCACATGAACTTTAATGGCATCCCAGTCTTAGTCCGTAGGGTTCAATATTGAGTTGGCTCACCCTTTGCAGTTATAACGGCTTCAGCTCTTCTGGGAAGGCCGTCCACAAGGTTTAGGAGTGTGTCTATGGGAAGGTTTGACCATTCTTCCAGAAGCGCATTTGTGTGGTCAGGCAGTGGTGTTGGACGAAGAGACCTGGCTCTTAGTCTCAAAATTCATCCAAAAGGTGTTCTATTTTGTTGAGGTCAGGACTCTGTGCAGGCCAGTCAAGTTACTCCACCCCAGACTCGCTCATCCATGTCTTTCTGGATCTTGCTTTGTGCACTGGTGCTCTGTCATGTTGGGACAGAAAGGGGCCATCCCCAAACTGTTCCCACAAAGTTGGGAGCATGAAATTGTCCAAAATGTCTTGGTATGCTGATGTCTTAAGAGTTCCCCTTCACTGGAACTAGGGGGCCAAGCCCAAACCCTGAAAAACAAAACCACACCATAATCCCCCCTCCACCAAACTTTACACTTGGCACAATGCAGTCAGGCAAGTACTGTTCTGGCAACCACCAAACCCAGACATGTCCATCGGATTGCCAGACAGAGAAGTGTGATTTGTCACTCCAGAGAACATGACTCCACTTCTCTAGATTCCAGTAGCAGCATGCTTTACACCACTGCATCTGATGCTTTGCATTGCACTTAGTGATGTAAGGCTTGGATGCAGCTGCTCAGCCATGGAAACCCATTCCATGAAGCTCCCTAAGCACTGTTGTTGTGCTAATCTGAAGGCCACATGTTTGGAGATCTTTAGCTATTGACTCTGCAGACAGTTGGTGACTTCTGCGCACTGTGCGCTTCAGCAAGCGCTGACCCTGCTCTGTCATTTTATGTGGCTTACCACTTGGTGGCTGAGTTGCTGTTTTTCCCAGTTGCTTCCACTTTGTTAAATACCATTAACAGTTGACTGTGGAATATTTAGTAGCAAGGAAATGTCACAGATGGACTTATTGCACAGGTGGCAACCTATCACGGGGCCACGCTTGAATTCACTGAGCTCCTGGGAGCGACCCATTCTTTCACAAATGTCTGTAGAAGCAGTCTGCGTGTCTAGTTGCTTGATTTTATACACATGTGGCCATGGAGGTGATTGGAACACCTGAATCCAATGATTTGGAGGGCGGGCCCAATACTTTTGGCAATATAGTGTATTTTGAATAAAACTAATCTGTTACTCGCGGTGATCTCTGTGAATATAAATGTTGCGTAAAAACTGTTTGTCCTTCAGTATGCTTCTACATGCTGAGTAATGCTGGCCATACACTATATCATTTCCTGTCCAATTTCTGCCCAATTTTCTTTAGATTTACCTTAAACTGCGCCTAATTGCATACAATTGAAAGTGCTGTTTAGGTTTGACCTCATATTATATGGTTTTTGGTAAATCTAAAGCAATTTTCTAAAGAAAATTGTATAGTGTATGGCCAGCCTAAAACCACTTGTGTGAACCAGGCGTTAGACGTCTAGGCAGACTTTAAAGGGTGTTTCAGAAAACATCATTTTGCAGCTTTCTTTATAATTTTAACGGTTACTGCAGAGAATTTGAAAAATGCAAACTTCAGTAAGTTTCTTGTCTGAGACAGATGGTCATCGTTACTTCATGTTTGTTTTCTGCGTGACTGAAACCACCCACTTCCGTAATAGAGCTTTCCTATTGCAAAATATACTGTTTAATAAAATAAATCTGGGTTTAACGTGAAACTGATTTTTCAAATATACTGTAAGTGTTAATTTGATCAGCTTAGTGTAATCTTTTGAGTGTGTGATACTGCTTTAAATAAAAGACAAAATAAACAGTTTCTACGTATACTTTGTAATAATATATTCATGGGTGAAGCCATATTACACATTACTTATGAAGGCTTTACTTCCTCCTTAGTAGTCTATTCTTAAAGCTGAACTCCAGCCTCACCTTCAGGCTTGCACAGTTTTTTATATGGGCTCTTCTCCTGTACTGAAATTACTTACTCAGATTCCACTGCACACTATAGGGTTGATTTACTAAAACTAGAGTCACAAATCTTGTGCAGCTGTGCATGGTAGCCAATCAGCTTCTAGCTTCAGCTTGTTCTTTTAAGATTTGACAATAAAACCTAGAACCTGATTGGTTTTTATGCAGAGCTACACTAAATTTTGCTCTCTAGTAAATCAAATACACGATCAGGTCACTTTTATGGTGAAACATTCTCATAACATGACCTTATATACAGATGAGCCCATGTGGCAGGATTTACAAACCTATCTGTTAAATACAGTAATCAAAATACTGAACAACAATCAAAACGGAAAGCCATGTCAGAAATTACTTTTAAGTACACCTGTCGGGAGAAATGTATGGAGCTGCCATTGCTGGCTTCCTTCTTAGAATGCTAGTTTCCTAGCTGTATTTAGGTTAATTTACCTGGAACTAGCATGCTGTAAATTGGTTTCAGCATTCCTTGTCCTCTGTACTTGTTTCAGGTCAATGACTCGGAAAGGATGGAGGTCAGAACGTCAGTATAACTGCCAGGAAACTAGAATTCATAAAGGAGAGATCACAAATTATATCCTAAACAATTCTTTCATGAATGGTGTACTTATACTGGTAAAACTATAACTTATTGTTCTGTTACTATTTAACATAGCTTTATGATGACTGCGGTTTCAAAATCTGCTTTACTGACGGGCTGTATAAGTATGTCCTAGCATCCATTATGTTTGTGTTTTGGTAAGAACATTGGCTCTCAGCCTTAGAGGCCTCATAATTTTCTTCCAAAAAAATTCCATGCCCAAACAGTAAGGGCCCATTTTACGTCTCGGTGGTACTTAAAATAATTTGAGAGGTGTGATTGTCCATTTTAGTCCATTGCTGGTGCCCTTGCAACCTTCTGCCGAAAGTCAGATTCTTTAGATATGTTTGTGTTCGTATACTTTATATAATGTCCATTGTGCTTTTCCTTACAGAATGTATGACAACATGTCCACGATGGTGTTTCTGAAGGAAGATAAGTTGGAGAAACTCACCCAAGATGAGATCATTTCGAAGACCAAGCAGGTGATCCAGGGCCTGGAGGCCTTGAAGAATGAGCACAACTCCATCCTGCAGAGTCTGCTGGAGACCTTAAAGTGTCTGAAGAAAGATGATGAAAGTAACTTGGTGGAAGAGAAGTCTAACATGATCCGAAAGTCTTTGGAGATGCTGGAACTAGGTCTGAGTGAAGCACAGGTATGGCTAACAAACTATTGCTGGGAGGATTTTTAGGTTTAGTGTTGCCTTTAGCAGTAAGAATGCAACCCTTTCTCCACCTACTTAACATAACAGTTTTCACTGTGGAGACATTAGTGAACTGTAAAGTGCTGTAGATTGCACATTTATTTGCTTTTGCCAGCGTCCGCACTTGAGGGCTCAGGAAGAGCCTAGTATCATGCCTCTTCTATAGGGTACCTCCAGCTAATGTGCTTACTTTGTTGTATATCATAATTGTCTCTATTAAACATCCTGGAGTTTGAATTTAGTTTGTGCTGGCATGCCTCCATGTGCCTATTGCTGTACTGAATGTTTCATTTCTTTGCACTTTGCTGCTGTCATTTTTTTACTTGATAGCTAGTCTGTCTCCTTTGTCAAATAGGAATGTGATGCACTCCATGGCAGTGGGGACATAAAGCAGAACTAAACCCTCCCATCCTTTGCAGTCATAAAATAGAAATCTTTATTTCTATTCCTGCTGGATGGTTATGGTTATTCAAAAATGTGAACTTTTTTTGCTTACCTCTGAACCTTTATCCTGCTTTGGCAGGATATATGAGGCCTCTGGTTGAAAGAAATGTTAACTCTAGGCAATGTCCTAAAAATGGTTTTGATAGTTTTCCTACACTGCTCTTTAAAATGCCATGGATTTGTCTTCCCGCTGAATTCTGTGTCGATGTGTACACTACTTGCTATGAGTTTTTGCTCTTTGTTCATTGCCCTTTGCTGTAAACAAACCTAATGGTGTCCAAAGTCTTTTATTGATCTGTTGTAGAAAGTTTTGTCCCTTTCCACCAACCACCATTTTAAATCTGTCCATCTGTACAGGCTTCAGTATGTAAAATTTTTTTTGTCTGTAAACAACCATCAGTTTCAGTTTCAGTATGGGGATGCTGATTATAGATCATAATAGGTTCTTAAAGTTACTTTAAACAGATCGTTAGTCGACCTCTAACATGCTGAAGTTGGTGCTAGAGCTGTTTAAAGTGACTATAGGCATGCTCATTAAGGACATAGGGTCTTCAATGACTGGGTTATGTTATGCAGCTACCTTCAGGTGATTGGACAATTGCAAACAAAAGCTGTAAGGACAGTCCTAGCATTGCATCTCACACTGCCAACTAGACTCAATTTTCTGCTAAAGTCCCCATGTGTATAGTCATCTTCTGTGTCTGCTCTAAAAGAGGAAAACTGTTTTGTTTAGTTTTTCTTTGCTAACCTTTTAACATGATTTTTCTATCAAGTCTGTAACTGCTTATAGGCACTTCCATTAAGCAAATTTTCAGATCCGTTGATTTTTCAGCTACGCCTTGGAAGTCAGACTCCTCTAGAGAGATGATGTGGGACTGGTCTGTAATGTTGATTTTGAGGATTGGATCCTGCGTAGGTGCTTATGTTGGCAAAGTGTTGAGTTAAGCCTGATACACACGGGGTAAAAATGAATGGGAGAGGTCCCCCTCATCAACTTTTCTTGTGTTGATGCATAGATATGTCGTGTTTTTTTTTTTTTTTTTCCCAATCCACTGAAATCTCTGCCACGATAAAAGGATACATTTTCTGTCCTTATTGGTGCATAACACGTCTATCTTGCCCTGGAGCAGCCTGTGGTGACCCAGCCAAAGGTCACCAGTCTGGGTTCTTTAAAGATGCATCGGCCAGGCAAACGTTCCTGTACACTCGCGCTTTAGTCTTTTACAGTGACTGGCCTCATCCGGAGAATATCTTCATCCTTCCCAAGGGCTTTTCTCAGTAATACCCTATTGAGGAGGTAATCCAGAAAAATTTAACTGTCCGGTCGTGAACCCCACCATTTTTTGTCTTAAAATAACTCTTAGGTCTAATTCCTGGTGTTCAAGGACCCTTCAAGGATGAGTTTTCTTTGTTGTGAAGGTACCTTTTGCTCAAGCATTTGCCTGCAAAAAGTCTCTTGCTGGGATTCCTTTTCGAAGGATAATGCCTATTTGAGGATTCCTTGGGCACTTGCATCAAAAAAGTCATGGGTGGTAAGAGTACTCTTTCTCCTGAGAAAGGGGACAAAAGCTCTACAGGAAAGTCTTTGGATCCTGGGGCAAAGAAAAGTTTTGTTTCTCTCAGGCATCTGGGTTCCAGGTTAAGCCCGGCTAGCAATTCTGCCACAAGTCCTGGACACCTAAACCTGCTAAGTCTAGGACAAGTCTTCTTCACAATGAGTGGGGTGGCAAGCCTGCAGCCTAAAGGATAAGGTTCTTTCCTTGACCAAGGTGTTGTGTCCATATTCGCTATTCTCTTGGATACCTAGATCTCCTCCTTTAGGAACAATGTGCCTAGGCCTTGCCAGCCCTAGTGACTTTGTGAGATCAGTTCAACACTGTCTCCCCCCCCCCCCCACTAAAGCTCCATCCTCGCCTGCTTCACAGAATAGAAAGGGAAGGTCGTTCCAGTGATCTTCATTGCACTCAAGTGGCCAAGGAGAATGTGGTACTCGGATCTCCTCAAATTCCAAGTGGACTCTCTATAAGCTCAGCCAGATCTGTCACAGGGACTGCTCCACCATCCTGCTTCTTGGGCTTAAACAGCCGCACAAGTAAAGCCATCGATCAAATCCTAAGAAGCAGAGTCTCCTGAGCGATATCATCCTAAAATCTGAGAAATCATCTCACAAAATCTTCCATCACATCTGGAAGGCCTACTTTGCCTGGTGCTAGGCTAGGAAATTCCATCCCAGGATGTATTCTGTAGGCTGAATCTGGTCTTTCCTCCAGTCTGGTGTGGATTAGTGTTTGGCCTTAATTTAGCATCAAAAGGTCGATATTTTGGTTCTAGCCATTTCAGAACTGATTTCACCCACTCATTGGTGAAAGCCTTTGTGCGGGGCATTTCTCACATTGTTCCCTTGGAACAATCCCCAGTGACAATGTGGGACTTCAACTAGGTTTTGTCAGTTCTTCAGAAACCTTCCTTTGAATATGTCAGGTATATCCTTCTATTTCTCTTTTCCTCACTCACAAAGTTGCTTTTCTTGTGGCTATCACCACTGTGAGACGTGCCTCACAGTTGGCCGCCTTATCTGGTAAGAACCTTTCCTAATGTTACACAGGGGTACAGCTGTCTGATGGCCTAAGGTCTCTTTCATTCTGAAGGTGGTTTCCTCCTTCCATCTTAACCAGGATACTGTGTTTCCCTCCTCTTTGTCCTGCTATGAAACATTCCAAGAGGATTTCTCCCCACTTTTTGGATGTGGTACATGCTGTGCAAGTTTATCTCTCCACTGAAGCTTCTTTTTGACCGGATCCACTCTGTTATTCCTGAGGGTCTCCATAGTGAACATTCTGCCTCTCATTTCCACTCCATTTCCATTTGAATTAGACATGTCATTATCCAAGCCTACAGTCTAAAGGTTCCTCCCATTCTGTTGAGGCACAGTCTACCAGATCTGTCAGTGCTTTATGGGCTTTTCAGCATCGGGCATCCGTTTACCAGATCGGCAAGGCTGCCACCTGGGCTTCTAGTCACACGTTTGTAAGCTTTAACAGGTAGACATTCAAACCTCTTCTGGTGCCAGTTTCGGGTGTAGGGTGCTTCAGGCTGCTGTTTGATTTTCTTTTCAAGCCCTAAAATGCATATGGTTTTTGTGGGCCTGTTATGTTGCCCACCCCTTAGTTGCATTGCTTTTTGACATCCTGATCATCTAAGTCTAAGATCCTTGGTAATGTATGAGTGTGAATATAGAATTTTTGATTTGCCTAAAACTTCCATTTCTTGAAGTACATTTACAGGACTTAGGCCCCCTCCTCTTCATTTTATGATTATTCTTTATTGCTTGTTGCTAAACTGAGGATCTTACAGGGTGGGAAAGGTTATGCCGGAGCTGATCTTTCAGCTCTGATACTGGAGCTGAAGATGGCTTTAAGGGATTGTTTACACTTGATTAGTAACAGAAAGTGCCTACTACTTTAATGTGCATTTTTATGTCTTTTTGATGCATTTTTAAAGCAAAAATGAAGCTTAGCAAATGCCTTATGTGTTAGTTTTCCATTTGTTTTAAAGGGGCAGTGATGATGAGGATGTCGCCAGATTTGAGTCATGGTTGGGGTTTTTTTTTTTTTTTTTTTTTGCTTGCTCAGTAGTACCCCTGCTAATCCAGTTTCCTGGCTTATTTAATAGTGCCACTCGGCAGATCTCCAGATCATCAGTTTCCCGGTTCAGTAGATCTACCCAGTGGTTCCCTGGCTCAGTAGCATTCCCCCCAGTTGTAGTAGCCCCCCACCACCACCACGGCTGCGATTTTTGTGGGGTTTTTTTCACTTTTCTTTGCAGCTTCAGCCACATAAGCCAATGTAATATGCTTTCCCATGTATTGTCATCTAAAAGTGTAAGTCTAATACATAAAATATTCCTTTGTTGCCTCTAACAAAAGTGATCTAACTGCAGATTGCACCGCAGACAGCAAAGCAAATCTAAACAAGGTCATAGATATCTATGGGGACAAAATGGGGTAAACCTTTTTGGAACCTATCACAGTAGCGCATACTCACCTGTGTTTACATGATTGAATGCCAAATTTTTTATTTAGTGATAAATGCTTTGATTGGCATTCATGGTGCTTTAGAAACGCTGGTCAAATGGCATATTTTGAGTGTAAACAACGCCTGCTCATAGGAGCTCACAATCTGAAAAAGGGAGAAAACGAAAACATTTGTATTGTTCTTGCAGGTTATGATGGCCTTATCGAACCACTTGAATGCGGTGGAGTCCGAGAAGCAGAAGTTGAGGGCTCAGGTGAGGAGGCTGTGCCAGGAGAATCAGTGGTTGAGGGATGAGCTGGCCAACACTCAGCAGAAACTGCAAAGGAGTGAACAGTCTGTGGCCCAACTGGAGGAGGAGAAGAAACATCTAGAGTTTATGAATCAGCTGAAGAAATATGACGACGACATTTCTCCATCGGTGTGTAGCTATTACTTATATTTTCCTTTCAGACTAAAGTCATGATTTTCCTAAGAATGCAGTAAAGGTTAAATATGAAATGTTTTTCCTTTCTTCCCTTTTTTACAGTGGAGGCTAGTAGATATAGTAGTTGACATACCGTATTTGCCAGCGTATAAGACGACTTTTTTGCCCTGAAAAACATGCCTCCAAGTGGGGGGGTCGTCTTATACGCCAGGTGCACTTCAGTTGGGATAGACATAGCTGCCATAGTGGCCTTCCGATACTCGCCCGGTGCCCATAGTGGCCTCCCGATGCCCGCCCACCTCATTCTACATACCATCCAGTATCGCGCGGTATCCAGTGCGGCCGCGGCGGGTCATCAGCGTGGCTGTGGCGAGCATCAGCAGCGATACAGGGGTGCCACCTTTTCGGCGTGACCGGCCCGTTCTGCTCGGTGGGAAGCAGCGTCGCTCTGGCCCGCCCCTTGTCTACGCAGAGCTCGCACATGCGGACTTGCGCACTAGTGCCAATTACAGGGAGATGCAATTCAAGGGAGGACCAGACTGCTGCTAGTGACATGGAGACAGGGAGGGCAGACAGGGAGCAGGGACCAATCCAATCAGGCTTTGTATACAGCCAACAGCCAACCACAGTACTGCACCATTGTACAGTACAATACAGCATAGAAAATGTCCAGCAGTCAAACCCCTATCAAGCATTCGAATATAAATTAACATGTTGAAATCAAATCTGATGTTCTTTTACGTTTTATTTGGTGTGTGGAAGGTGTGCGGAAGAGGGGTACGGCGAGTATATAACAAACTCTATATTTTGAGTGGAAATGTTGGGGGTCGTCTTATACGCCCAGTCATCTTATACGCCGGCAAATACGGTAGGTCCAGTACAAGCAGTCCAGTAGTCTCTATAATTAGTAGTCTGATGAATGATTGCACACAGCAGTAGCATTTGATTTTAGTTCAAGCAGAATTCCAAGTAAGCAGACAAGTCCAGGGGTTAGACAGAAAAATGGAAACACTACATGAATTGCAGGTGTGAAAGTGACGACATGTTTCATGTTGAAAGCAGAAGTAATGTAATATTCTTTTGCTTCCACTGTGTGATGAGACACTTAACAGGTGGGAAGCCTCACTTTCGTCATTTACCGCATGCACTTCTAGTAATATGGAGCCATGTCAGAGATTACTGAGCTTCAGAGAGGGTGCATTGTTGGTGCCAGCTTAGCTGGTGCCTCTTTGACCGAGGTTGCCAATTTATTTGTAGTGTCGCGAGGTACATTTATCAAAGGTTATGACAGCATATACAGTTTCTGGGAAAACATCATCTGGCATAAGCGTGGTCAGCATGGTCAACTGACTAAAAGAAACAAAAGGACATTGCGCAGGGTTGTGACCCAGAATAAGAAAACAACTTCTGCAAAAGTAACTGCAGAGCTTAAGCTCATCTTCACGGGGAATCGCCTGACAATTTCTCATTACTCCTAATTGGCTTGGATGTGTTGAGTTGTTAAGTTTGCCCACCTGCTGTGGCAATAATGAAGGGTTCCCACTCTACTGTTTTAAATATGTTCTAAAAATATTTTTATGTAATATGAAGAATGTTAGAGAGGAGCTGTAACACCCAGGTGGCCAGAATCGCCCAAAACTTTCAGGCGGACAAGAACTATGTCGGGGAGATCTCACTGTTAAAGGCTAAGGTCATTTTTAAAAGAGGAAAAAAAAAATATAATTGCGCTTTTTTTGCTGGAAAAAAGTGCCTTTTTTTTCCCCTCAGGAGCCTGCAAAGCATTGCACCCGTTATCAGTGGATTGTGGGTTCAATGTCAGGTTCCTGCACACACTCTCTTTCCAGCTTGTTCCAGTACCTCCATAAAAGCTTATAGGTACGAAGCTGGAAGCAGAGTGAATGGACTACAAGGGCTCTTATCGGCACCCTCGCAGTCCATTGAGAACTACAAGCTGTCCTCCTTGGTGGCAGATAGGACTTGTAGTTTATCCATTCACAGATTCCTGTGAGTGAATGAGGTGGCTGTGCGGAAGGAGCCCCGCACAACCTTGTCATTTTTAAAATGTAACGGCAGGTCCAAAGAAAGGGCCTGCTGTCACAGGTGGTGAGGCGAGGTGCCTTTTTAGTAACACGTTACACCCTAAATACAGGTGTTACACGTAACATGTTACTAAATGTGAACTTGTCCTTTAAAGCAGGGGTGTCAAACTCCATTTAATCGAGGGTCACATCAGCATTCTGTTTGCCTTCAAAGGGCAGGTTGTATGCAGAGTTCAGGCGTGTGCGAGGTACAGAGTGCAGAGTTCAGGAGTGCGCTATGTGCACAATTCAGAGTTTAGGGGTGCACTGTGTATGGAGTGCAGGATTGAGGAGTGCGCTACTTACAGAGTGCAGGGTTTGACTCTCTTTCACAGGCTGGGAGATCATTGATCGCATCTGTCCCCGCCATGAGGGCAGGTGAGGATCTGTGAGAGCTGTGAGCTACCGAGGGGAAAGCTGTCCATGTAAATACAGAAGGCTTACGTGTTTACTAGTGATATTGGCGAGTAAGGAGCAGAGGGTGAAAGCCGGAGGTGGCGGAATGGAGTTCTGCCATGTTCTGGCTGAAAAAAAGCCCTGGCTGTAAGGACCGTGTGAAATGGCCTGGAGTGCTTTAATGCATTCAAAACATTGAGGCTTTTTTCGCTAGGCTTCAGCAATACCTAAAGTATCCCTTTTGGTGGCCTTTAATAATTTTTCTAAATAGTGCATGATTTTTATGCCTGAAGGTCATTTTTAAAAAATAATGCTTTTGGAGGTGTTAACATGTTAAAAAGTATGCTGCTGGGCTTGATACAGTGGCACAGGTCTCGCTAGCAAAATTATTTTCATGGTACCCATAAATTTAGTTGTTAAAAGAAAATGTTTAAAATGGGCAACACAGTGGCTAAATGGTTAGCACTTCTGCCTGGCAGTACTAGGGTCGCTGGTTCAAATCCCAACCACGGCACCACCTGCCTGGAGTTTGCATGTTCTCCCTGTGTATGCGTGGGTTTCCTCCGGGTACTCTGGTTTCCTCCCACTCTCCAAAGACATGCTGGTAGGTTAATTGGATCCTGTCTAAATTGGCCCTAGTATGTGTATGTATGAATGTGAGTTTAGGGACTTTAGATTGTACGCTCCTTCAGGGTTAGGGACTGATGTGAATGTACAATATATGTGTGTAAAGCGCTGCATAAATTGATGGTGCAATAGAAGTACCTGAAATATAAGACTTTAATTATTGTCAATTGACTTGTTTGCAACACTGCTGACTTTTAAGACGCCTCATCTGAAAAGCACACGCAAACAACTATGAGAAACACTGGAAGTGATCCAATCTGTTGCAGTATAGCTCAGGAAAATTGTCAGTCAAATTGCTCCAGGCTGTCAAATTGATGCTGGCTTTACTACTTGGTGAGTCACTGAACTGGAACAAGCATGCAGCCAGTGAAGTCTTAACTCCTGACTGTATTGTTGTTTCATAGTGGTGACTCATTAGGTAATGACACAAAAACCGTGATGACCGCCACGAAAACCTGTACCTTTACACACAGGTCCGCAGTGGTAGCTCCCTTGTTTCATTCCTGAAGAGCTGTCTTTAAAATCTCCTCTAGATAAGTGGTCATTGCAGAGCTGAGTATGTGCTTTGTGCCACACCTTCCACATTTCCTCTTTTCCGACTGTATAGATTATTGGAGTCTGTTTGAGGATTTCACCTCCCTAGAGAAAGAGATTGTATAGAATCTTTGAATTGTCTCCTTCCTATCCTAGAAAGGAAACTGTTATCCTGGTTGTAAATATCATAAGACATTTGCAGATTCAATTGTAAAGCAAATTTAATGAAGGAAATCGCATGTATTTATACAGTGCTTTTATTTATAGCTTGGCAAATGGCTTCTAATTTAAACTGACTTTACAGGATGAATCGCTAGACACAGGATGCTTGGTTTTACTGCTCTATATTAGGGTTGATATGGTTTATTAAAATTTTAGCAAAGAATCTTTGTTTAGGGTTCGTTCACACCAGCTCTGGTGGGCTGCATTGGGCAGAGTTGCTAAACACATAGACATGGCTATTAGCTCTATATCCTATTGTTTCATTTCACACCAACCCACTGCATTGGTTTGCACTAAAAAAAAACCTGGTTGCATTTTTATGCAGTGGAGCATGTTCCAAGGTTCTAAAATGCTTTGAAGCATTGGGTTACTGTGCTGCAATTTAAAATAAAGGGAAAGGAGGTGGTGGATTTTAAATGAATGCACTGACTTAGTGACCTCAGCACTTGGTTCTGTTGTATGTTAACTGTAAGTGTCGGTTAATATATATGCAGATTGGATGCAGTATGAACGGCATCCAATCCACATGACTTGAAACAACATTGCTTCCTGTGGTGCCTGTTCACATATGTCTGGTGCACTGGCGGTGCGGATTCAGTGCGGTTTGAAAAAGAGTCATCTACAATTTCTGAGCAGTGCCTTCAGGTTCAGATGTCAATTACAGGCTGTTGACTTCTGTGGGAACCATTTTTAAACCACATATATGTGAACGGGATAAAACTCTGAGCTAATCTTGTCCTGAACCTGATGTAAACCTGACATGAACAACTACTGTGTCAATTAGCTGTGAAACCTGAGCTTCAGTCCCCACCGCACATGTGTGAATCGGCTCTAAGAGGCAATATTACCTACCTTTCCGGTAGCCTATTTGTCAAGACACTTCTTACTCATGGCTCCCTGACTGTTGCAATTATTTTTGCACATGTCCACATCATTGAGCCCAGGTTCACACTGATGTGCGGAATTTGCACTGGTTTCTGTGCGATTTCTGCACCGCATCACGATCGCACTCCATTCATGTGAACTGCTGTGGGTGTGTATGTTAACACCCCGAGATCAGTTCACAAAACGCGGTATGATGTGCAGAATCGGATCGCATTGGTGTGAATACCCATGCGATGTGATTCTGGTGCGGACACTATTTTGGTGTAGATGCGGTGCGATCTGAGCCACACAAGATGTACGGCTAAAATTGCACCACACAGCAATCGCATGTGATTTGCACAGGAATGCAGTGCAGTTCCTGTGCGCATCACATGTGATGTGCTGCACCACATCAGTGTGAACCCGGGATAAAGGATTCATGCAATTGTCAGGGTCCAACAGAAGTCATGGCATTGACATGTGCATTTGAGCATGGCTGTTACATCTCTGAGTTCTCTGTGAAGGAAGAGAAATTAAAGGATTAGTTCATCTAAAACTGAAATTTGAGTTTAGAGTAGAAGGTAAACTCCAAAGGTTTCCTATATTTCTGGGACTGTCGTAATTTTACCTCTTAGCGCTTGAGCTTGTAGGTCCTTTCAATCTGCCATGGCCTTTATGATGGGCTCTCTCCCTCCCCTGTAGCTTTTTTTTATTTTTTTTTATTTTATATTCTATATGATTTAATTTCTATATTCACAACCCCACCCAGTACTTGGTGTCCTTTGGTGGCCATACTTACCTTTACTGCCACCATGAAAAAAATCTTGACACTTTTGAGCATCATGTGACATTTAATTTCTCCTCTACAGTTCAGCACCAGGGTCCTGAGCAGTCAGTCACCAGGCCCCAGTGCTATCTTATGCTAGCATGCCATTGAGTGTGCAATAATTGATGCCTTTGTGTATTTTAATATATACCTTGGGTGCTTTGTATGTGTGATAATGAGGAGATGATAGATTTTACTGTGGTAGAATTCAATGTACTATTATTTTTCAGGATGATAAGGACAGCGATTCATCTAAGGAGCCTCTTGATGACCTCTTCCCCAATGATGATGATGACCAAGGACCAGGAAGTAAGTGCAATTCCCAATTCTTCTTGGAACAAATTCAGCAATTTGGTAATCTTACAGCTGGTCACGGGCGGGCTAATATTTGATTCGATTTTTATTTAATTTGTTAAAGTGTGTGCTATCCTAATATTTCATATTCCTGATATGTCTACTGTACTGTTTTTTTTTTTTTTATCCAGTATACGGTTCTTTGTATTGCTTCCTTTGTGTGAAATACCTGGTCCCCTCTGCTTTGCTATTTCAAGCTGACCGTGCTTGGCATGCATGCACATCCATCTCAGTGTGGTCAGTTTTTTTTTCTGGTGGTGCTGTGAGAAGAGGCTGCCTAACCTCCAATGGTCAGACCGCTGCTCCCCTACACAACCATTCATTGGGAAATTCAGTGTACTGCTGTTCTCCACCAATACCACTCCAAGCCCCTTATACAGATGAGAATGTGTGCGTGTGTGCGTGTGCGTGTGCGCACGTGTGTTTTCACATATACTTTAAGTTAAAAAAGATTTTTGCTACCGTAACAAGACTTGATGATCCATATATTCCTGTGCCTTGTCAGCTGGGCATCATAGGACACATTAGTATTATCATGTGCCATTTAATGGAAATCTGTAGACATCTCCTTTAGATTGGGACAGTAGCCCAGATAAAAAGCTTATCTCAGTATTCAAGGGCTATTTGGTGAGTGTTGGCAGATCTGACTGGTGCTGATCATCACTTTAACAGGTTGATTCCTGCCCCTCCCTGTCTAAAATGTCAATCTTATTACAGTGTAGCTGAACTTTAATATGAAGGAACAGTCCACCCAAAAGTAATAATTTTTTTGGTAGATCCTGGCATTTTTTCTTTTTTTTCTTTCACCCACTCCGTTGATAGTGAGGCCTCCCCACTTGAGCTCCCAGTTCTGCCAGCCTGCCATTGGCAGTTTAGACTGAGCCGCAGCGGGTTGCTTTTTTATTGTTGTTAGATTGGTAATGCAATAAAAGCATAGATGTCCCTCTGCAGTAAGAGGAGCAAGAGTTTATGCAGGCAGAGTCAGAATCTGGGATTCCCATGTAATGAAACAAGGGCTGATTTAACCTGTAGCACTTTTCCAATGATGAGCCATCAATGTATAGAGGGAACAACTGCTAAACTGCTAAATCTGAATTTTGTGCTTTTTTTGTGCAGTACAACAACAGCACAGCAGCGCTGCAGCTGCGGCTCAGCAAGGAGGCTATGAGATCCCTGCACGGTTAAGGACTCTTCACAATCTTGTGATTCAGTATGCATCCCAAGGGAGGTATGAGGTGGCTGTTCCTCTCTGCAAGCAAGCCCTGGAAGACCTAGAGAAAACCTCTGGCCATGATCACCCTGATGTTGCTACAATGCTCAATATACTGGCTCTGGTGTACAGGTGAGTTACCTACCTATATAGTAAAGTACAGCTTTATGTTTTACTATATTTAATTTTTTTTTTTTAAACAAAGCAGCAGATTGGGGTTACATAAAGTATCAGTAATTGGCCTCTTGCCTGTAAGGGCTCTGTAGGGCTGCACAGTGGCTCAGTGGGTAGCATTGGAGCATTGAGGTCCTTCATTATAAACCCAACCAGGACACTGTCTACATGGTACATGTCTAAAACAAATCCAGAATTGCAATGTGTGGACCAGGGTGGCTCCCTTATTATTTTCAATGGCACCTACCACATGATGTTGTGCAAAAAATCACATTGCGTGAAGCTTTGTTGCCAAAAAGTTGCCTTGCCCTGGGAGATAACAACCCACACTGTGTATAAAAAAAAAAATGGATACAAACTTTTTCAGCTGACTCTTAGATCCAAAGCAAATTTGTTAAGCCCTGTCTTACAGAAAGTCAGCCTTCAGAGACTGTTGGTCCTACATTTCTGTCCAGAGGTCCAGATGACTATGGTTGCTTTACGGTGCAGCAGGGTGACTGTCCATAATCATGTGAGCATTCTTCTATAAGAAGACCGGATTATTTGGAAGAACCTGTCTTCTGCCCAATTGGTTTTGCCCACCGCTGACCTTTTGCTCAGCATTACTCATCTAGGTACCAAGGAGAGGGGGACTCTGAGAGCTGAAAAGGTTATTGCAAAAAAAATAAATGTGATCCCTGGCACTCCTTTTGGTTGTGCATTCTTGTTGCACATCTTGAACATCCAGTCTACATCAGTATGCTAAGTGGTTGCAGAAGGCTAACTGTCAGCCAGCTTGTACAGCAGAAGTTTGTTTAACCCAGGTAAGGAGAATGCATATTTAAAGGATGGCTAGGGATCAGGGGCGGACTGACAACTCATGGGGCCAGGGGCATTTCATGGGGCCCCTTACTGACCCCGGGCCCTTGGGCAATGCCCGAGTTTCCAAATGGTCAGTCCACCCCTGCTAGGGATGCATTCTCATGTAACACAAGCACCTGGAGGTGCACACAAAATGAATGACTTCTGTAAGGGCTAATCACTGATCATTACACTTTACACTTTAGGTTTTATCATACAAAACGTATGTTCAACCTGGAGCAAGAAGCATACAGGTATAAAGGGAGGTTGGGAATGCCTTTTATCATGCACCCCTGGCACCTTCCACCGCTCCTTTGTGAAGGTTTTGAGTGCAGGCTATGTGCAGGCTGAAGAACCATAGGAAATGTAGTTCTGTGTACACAAGGATTTGAAGTAGGGAGATCTGCAGATCCCTCCACCAGACAACCTAACATGGACCATTTTTAGCTGGTTTGATGGTGTCATTGTCCATACAAATGATGATTACTGTACTCTGTTTTGGAGCACTGGAGAATTTGAATTTAAAGATTATATAGATAAATATCGTGCTGCGCTCCTCTATTATTATCATCAAAGACACATTGATTACGTGTAAAGAATAAACTAAAATCTAATATAAAGTGTGAAAAAAAATAAATTTTTTTGATTTAATATATGTTTATTGAATATTTTTGGGTTGTGTTTGCAGAGAATTCACTGTATTGGCTCACAGGTGGACAGTTGGTTTTGAATTTTAAAGATTGTTGTACTCAGACAGGACGAATGGAAAGCAAGAATGGATGGAGCCTAAAGATGATCTTCTAAAAATGGAGACAAGAAATGTGTTCTGCCTAGCACTTTACAGAAATGGTTATATTGGTTGCTGTGAACAATGTTGGCAGTTCTCTGTTTTGCATAAATTTAAGAAAGACCAGATCGACCTGTTAATCTGCTACTAGTCTTTTTAGGTGGCTGTCAAATCCAGCCTGGGCCTGCTGAAATGCACATGAGTCTTCTGTTGACTTTTTTTTTGTAAATGCCTGCTTGAGTATGTTGCACATTTTAGAGCATAACTGAACCCAAGAATAAAAATATATTGCAGTTTATCAGTCCTTAGATGTGCTGGCTACATTCTTAATATTCTTAACCTGAAAAAGAAAACGGTTTAAAATATATAAAATTTGAGAGAAATGTCCTTGTTACTTTCTTAGAGATGATCTATAAGCATAAAGCAATGCAATTTTATTTTTCGAAAGTACTAATACGCTTTAATATTCTTCATCTGAACACTGGCTTTAGCAGAAGAATGAATTGGAGTACAATTCAATTTAACCTCTTCCTTAAATTCTGTTTCAGGGATCAGAACAAATACAAAGATGCTGCCAATCTATTAAACGATGCCCTGGCCATCCGAGAAAAAACTTTGGGCAAAGATCACCCAGCGGTCTGTAACTGAATTCTTTTCACTCTATTTTTACTTTTTTTTTCTCCTAACACAATCCCTTCCCTAATCTGGTGTTAACTAACCTTAATGTTAAACTCAACAGGAGAGAATGCTTATAGATTGGCTGATGCCTAGATGTAGCAGGTATGACTCTGTAGTTCTGAGCACATAAATAACCAATCAGCCCTAATATGCTCTACACGCACGCATCTATGTTTTTGTTAAAGCAGCAGTCCTCCCAGCACCACCACCTTCATCCTGTGGGGCAGGGGTATCAAACTCTATTTCATTGCAGGCCACATCAGTATTATGGTTGCCCTCAAAGGGCCAGTTGTATGACTAGATGTCCAGAGCACTCCACCCTTACATCAGATATCAAGAGCCCCCCACCATCAGCAGTCAAGCTTCCCCCACCTCCCTTTACATCATAGTGCACCCCCCTAACCTTGTAGGGGGTGTCGCAGCTGCAGGAGTGGTGAAAGGGCCACATAAAATGGCCTGGTGGGCCGGATTTGATCAATGGGCCTTGTGTTTGACACATGCGCTCTAGCAATTTTTTAAATATGAAAGGGATTTTCTCCCATTGAATTCTGCAACTAAATTAAATTGATGGCTTGTTTTAAAGGGAAACTATGCACTTTAACATTGCTTTTGATGTGACTTTAGCATAATTTCCTTGTTTTCTAAACTTTTAATTACTGTACAGCATATATAAAGGCATATACAGGTTTACCTCGGTTTATGAATTGAATGCGTTCTTTGGGATGTTTCGTACTGTGAAAATTTTTCTTCACTATAGCTCAGAGAATCAGCTGTCACTTCCCCCCAGCTAAAAAAAAAAGAGTTTCCTTTTAGTTTATTTCTCTGAGTAAAAAGAAACAATGTTTCCTTTTAGTTTGTTTACTGAGATATAAGAAACAGTTTCCTTTCGCTTTGGGGAAAGTGACAGCTCATTCTGTGAGCTATAGTGAAGAAAAAAGAAGCCAACAATTACATTTATAAATCGACACCGACATGCACTTTGTATTGCATAAAAAATTTGTAAACTGAGGCATTATTTTCAATGGATTTTCATTTGTAAAGTGAAAATTATGTTAACCGAGGCGTTCGTAAACCGAGGAACACCGGTATAATGATTGTAAATGCTTCCTTTTAGTGGTCATTTGAGATTATTGATCCCTACTCCATTACTATTCAGTGCAGTCATGGCAAAGGAACAGGATCTCTTGTAGGAAGTACCCCCGCCCAGAGATATTCCACTACTGCAGTTCAAACCCTGTGTAAGCTCTGCTTCCTTTTTGTCAGCTGACCGTGCCTCATGTCAAGACTCATGTTTGGCTGCTGAGGCCAAAGCACTTCACCCTGGGAGGGTCAGTACGTGCTCCTCCATTCCTAAAAGGACCGGGTGTTTAGAGAAGGGTCTGACAGAGCAGTGGGTGAGCAAAAGGTCATTATTAGCTAATGGGACTTTTTTTGTACCTGTCACAAAGTTGAGAAAGCTTTCAACTCTAAAGTCTCATGAAAGTGAGAGAATTCTTTTAGTTGTTATGGAACAGGTGTCCCCATCAAAAGATTTTCCCTTTATTTTTTTTCTTTAGTGACAACTTCAGTCCAAGTGAAAATGGGCACCAGGATATTAAGGGAATGTATCTCTCTAGTGGGGACACAAACCACAATAAAAACGTTTTAGGGGTTTTAGTCTGTCCACACTTGTTTCAGAGGTTTAAAAAATATTTTCACTTCAGATGCATTTAAAAATGGCTGAAAGGTTCATTTCAATACCAGATAACCAGTAAACATTTCCAGAAAGACAGAGTAATCATACCCTATGCAAGGCACACTACATTAAAATGGCAGAGCGATTTCTTGGTAGGGAGGTTATGGGAAGGTGGAATGGAGGAACTGCTGCTTTACCAGAACTTGCTGCTTTTAATATTGAATTAGCAGTTTGATTATTTTTAGATTTATGATTATAGTGCAAAAAATTATTTTACAAACAAATCATATAGAATTAGTAGATGTAACCTGATCCCTCATAATAAAGGACAAATATTAATTTGATGGGTAGAAGTTTATCTCGCTGGCTTGAAAATAATTCCAGATTATGACTGTTCAGTAAGATGTATTTACCTTGGTGAAAAGTGTAATTGCTAATTAGCAGTACCAAATTCTTGACCAATGGCTGACAAGACTGCACTTTCCTAAGCCAATTATTCTAGTTTGTAGCAACATGAAAGGCCTCTTGCACATGGTACTGATATTTGAGTGTCGGCATTTCTGGGCGTGATTTCAGGCCTTTGTGTTACACGTATTTGTGCGTACAATACATTCCTTATGGCAAAATCTATAAATTATCAAAATATTTATGTTCATTTGCACGTACCGGTACAAAATACTGACAGGAATGCAGATTTTTCCATTTTTTTTTTTTTTTATACTTTATAATACACAACACTCGTACACACGTGTGTGTACAAGCACATTGTAAACAATCGGCTACATTTTAGATCAATGAAAGAAAATGCTGTACTGAGCTTTTTCAAGCTGCATTGTGCAGGAGGTCTAAATGTATAAATTAGTACATCGATTTTAATGGAAGCTGAAAATGCTTCTTGATCCGAAGCTCACCACATAATACAATCTGATTTGTACAATTTCCTTTTGTACTGTAGTACAGTACTGTGCAAATGTTTTAGGCGGGTCTGAAAAAAATTCTATAAATTAGGAATGCTTTCAGAAATAGAAGTGTTAACAAAATGAAAAGTAAATGAACAGAAGAGAAATCCAAATCAAATCAATATTTGGTGTGACCACTCTTTCCCTTCAGTTTCTGAAAGAACTTGGCAGGTAGGTTGCTACAAACACCTTGGACAACTTACTATGGATCTTCTATGTATGTTGGCTGCCCCAAATTCTTCTGTCTCTTCATGTAATCCCAGACAGACTCTGTGATATTGTGATCAGGGCTCTGTGGGAGCCAAACCATTACTTCCAGGATCCTTGTTCTTTTTTACACTGAAGATAGTTCTTATTGGCATTGAATTGGGGTCATGGCCTGCCACAAAATAAATTTGAGGCCAATCACACGCCTTCCTGATGGTATGGCTTGATGGAAAATTATCTGCCTTTATTTCTCAGCATTGAGGACATTGGTTGTAACCAAACCTCCAACTCCGTTTGCAGAAATGCAGCCCCAAACTTGCAAAGAACATCTGTCATGCTTCACTGTTGCCTGCAGATACTCATCATTGTACTGATCTCCAGCCCTTCACAAACTGCCTTTTGCTACAGCCAATTAAATCGAATTTTGACCCGTTGGTCCAGAGCACCTGCCACCATTTTTTTTGCACACCCCAGTTCTGATGTTTTTGTGCATAGTTGAGTTGCATAGCCTTGTTTCCAAGTCAGAGGTAGGGCTTTTTGGTCATAATTCTGCCTCGAAGACTATGTCCAGCCAGTCTTCTCCGGACAACAGTAGATGGTCAAAGGAACTGAGGTGTGTAAGAAATGGCAGCAGGTGCTCTGGACTGATTAGTCAAAATTTTAAATATTTGGCTGTAGCAAAAGGCAGTTTGTGAAGTGCTAGAGAGCAGTACAACAATGGATGCCTGCAGGCAACATTCAAGCTTGGTGGAGGTTCCTTGCAAGTTTCGGGCTGCATTTCTGCAAATTGAGTTGGAGATTTGGTCAGGATCAATGGTGTTCTCAATGCTGAGAAATACAGGCAGATGCTTATTCATCATGCCATACCATCAGGAAGGCATGTTATTGGCCCCAAATGTATTCTGCAGTAGCACAGCAACCCCAAACATGCTGCCAATGTCATTAAGAATGATCTTCAGTGTAAAGAAGAAAAAGGACTCCTGGAAGTGGTGGTTTCGCTCCCACACAGTTCTGATCTCAACATATTCAAGTCTGTCTGGGAGTACATGAAAAACAGTAATATTTGTGGCATCTTTGGTTAGTTCTGCAAGATGTTTGGAACAACCTACCTGCCTAGTTCCTTCAAAAACTGTCTGCAAGTGTATCCATAAGAACTGAATAATTGAAGTAGTTTTAAAGCCAAAGAGTTGGTCACACAATATTTTGATTTGGATTTCTTTTCAGTTCATTTACTTTACATTTGTTAATCGATAAATAAACTATTAACACTTCTATTTCTGAAGGATTAATTTACAGCATTTTTTCACACCTGCCTAAGACAGTACTGCAGAGTACTGTACTAACTGCCTGGCGGATTTAATACAGATTGATTGGATAATTAGGTCCTCAGATTTCATAGTTTTGATAAATCTAAAGTTGATTGTAAAAAGATTGTATGATTAGATTGTAATGGTGTATGGTGACCTTTTTAAAGTGGATATAAACTCGAAGGGATTTTTCTTTAAAGCGAAAGTAAACTCTTTGAAGGGAAAAAAAAAGCAGAGGCAAAATGTGCTACCACTTTATTGTATTGTCTGCATTAAGGTGAAAGAAATTTCAGTACCTGTTTTCTCCACCCTAAATACCCACTGGAGTCATCTCTTGATCCAGCATTGTGCCCGCCTGCAGCAGCACCGTTTTCTCTTCCTCACTCAGAGCCAGAAGCTCCTGCTGCTGTTTGTCAAATCCTGTGAAGAGGGAGCAGGGGATGTGGCTGAGCAGTGCAGTGTGTGCGTCTATAGACACACACAGCGCGGCTTGAAAGCTTGCCTGCATGGGGGCCCGCCAGCACATGGCTTGCTAAGGGGTCACCCACAGGGAAGAAGGAGCTGATAGCACTTTTCAGGAGACTGCAGAAAAAAAGGTAATAGAAAATGCACAGAGCAGATAAATATAAACTTTTTTATTTTAATAAAAAAAAAGCACTTTAAGTTAAACCTATCAGCGTTTGTGACATTTTGTAATTAGTGCTCTTTAAAGAGACGCTGTCACTTTTCCAATTTAGGGTGAAGTGACAGTGTCTGCAGATCATCCTTCCACCTAGGCCTTTATACTTGCCGAGCCACACTACCAGAGCCCTCAATAAAGGAGCTAGGCTTCTAGTTATGGGGGAGCACATGACCTCTCTCCCATGTGACAGTGCTCATGTTTGAGTGACCCATCCCCAAGCTCTGGTTGATGAGCCTGTGTCATCTTTCCCTTGTCCTAAACTCCCAACACTGGAACCTAAACAGACTGGGTAGTAAGAGGGAGTGGCGTGGTAAGCATATAATCTTGGGAGTAAGTAATTAGGGTAGGTTGATTGGAAACATTGTCATTTTGCCCTGAATGGGTAGAGCAGTGGGGGAGAGGTGAGTATAAGGGCTTATTCACATGGGCGCTCAGCACCATGCAACAGCCAGAGCCATTTATTTACTTTTTTCCCACCACTGAGCTGTGAGCAGCCAGCCCATAGAAAGGAAAAACATACTATAAATATGTGAGCGCTTCATCAGTATCTTTACTGCAGAGATTACAATGAACGTGTCAGTGCATTGGAACAACTGCTTATAGTCCATCTGAGTAGTGTGCCCGTAAGCCTAGGTTCACACTACAGCGGTGCGGAAATCACATGTGATTCGCACAGGAACCACACTGCATTCCGGTACAAATCACATGCGATTTGCATGCAGTGTGATTAGAGCCATACATTTTGTATGTCTCTATTCGCACCACACCCGCACCAAAGACATGCAGGACCCTTTTATGGTCCACACTAGATTCGGATCACATAGGTATTCACACCTATGCGATCCTATTCTGCACATTGCACCACGTTTTGTGGATCAATGTCGGGGTGTTTTTTAAAATACACACCCGCATCGGTTCGTATGAACTGGGTGCGATTGTGATGTGATGCACTGAAAATACTGCAAATTCCGCACCTCTTCAGTGTGAACCAGGGCTAAAGGTGATATTGTTGCAGCATAATTGAGTGAGTCCTCTCTAAAGGGTTACGGGATCACTGGCACTGTTCTCATGCTGCATCTTTGAGGGCCATCCACCCTGAAAGAGAAGGCAAGAGGAAAGGGTAACCTGTGAGTCACATGACTGGCATGAAGACCTCTGGAAAAGGGAAGTATAAAAACAAAAGCATAAATACATGTTTAGGGTGCCTCCCAGAGGATGCAGTGAAGTGAGGGGTATCTTGTAGTTGGTCTTTAATTATTTTTCTTGACTTCAGAAATCACTACAGCACTCTATTATCAATCAGTTATTTTATGATGATGCCCGCTGGTTGTTATTGCACCTTTTATAGGTGTTTGAAAGCTTATAGGTCAGGTAGGACCTCTGTCAGAGTAGCAGACACCCAGTCCTTCTGTATGCGTTCTGCAGATATTAGTCTGTCTTCTTTCTTCTCAATTTGAATCCATTTTCTTTCAATCAGCGCTGATCCTCTGAGCCGCTTTGGTGTTGTGGTAATGCATTGGTTGAAGCCTGTAGATATTAAGCTGTGTATTATCCTCTGCAGGTTGCAGCCACTCTTAATAACCTAGCTGTGCTCTATGGGAAGAGAGGGAAGTACAAGGAAGCAGAACCATTATGTAAGAGGGCCCTAGAAATCCGGGAAAAGGTAAGCTGATGAACTGCTAAGCAACTGAATATCTTTTGACTTTGACATTTCTGTGCTTATTTAAAGTGTTGTGACCAAAGAATACTGCCAGTAATAGGAGGCAGCTCACACATTCCATATGTATGACAAATGCTTCTTAGGTGTCAGAGTATTTTATTGTACATGTTGAAAGAATGTAAAAATTACAGAGATGACTTCTTCAAATAATTACACTATTGTCTATAAAATGTATATTTAATAGTCTGTATAAGTTCTAAGTAACTTCAAAGATGTTTAATTATCTTTAGCTTATTTTGCATTATTTCGGTATTTCACTTAGAGACAATTCCACTTTGCCATGCAGGGTAAAGTGACATTGTCTATGAAAAGCCCCTCTTTAATACTGCTGCCCTCTTATACTTGCCTTACTAGCCCTTTCTTGCTGTACCTTCCAAGTCTGTAGTGTTGCTTTACATTTCTGGCTGTGATGAAGGAAGGAGTAGTGAGGGATCACCGCTAAGGTGAGTATAGTGGGGCCCTTTCCAGAGATGCAGCGGCTTTGCTCTGCCTAGGCAAGCTAACAATGTCTAAAGCCCAACTCAAGACGTTGTTGTGTGAATGAAAATAAAAATTAAAGTTTACAAACATATTATATTTACCTGCTCTGTGCAATGGTTTTGCACAAAGCAGCCCAGGTCCTCCTACTTTGGGGTCCCCCACCAGTGCTCCTGGCTTCTCCCCCTGCTGAGTGCTCACCACAGGAAGCTGCTTTCTATGGTGGTCCCTCCTGTGGGCTCGCTCCTGAGCTGAGCTGCTTGCATCTATTCAGGCACACAGCCTGGCTCGGCCCTACTCCCTGCTCTCTGCTCACAGGCTGAGTATTAGGAGGGAGCTGCCAAAGGACACAACAATCACAGATCACATGCAGTGCGCACCCCAGGAGGCGCACGGTTGTGGGAGGACGTCCATGGACGCGCTCCGAGAACTAGCTGACTGCGCTGTAGCTGTATTTTCGCTATAGCGCAGTCGGGAACTGGTTAATTCAGAGAATGCAGTAACCTTAAAAAAAAATAAAAATTAAATTTTACCTTTACAACCACTTCAACTTTGAAAACTGGGCTAGAGATAGAACTTCTGTCTGATGACGTTTTATTTATTTTGTAGTTACTTTCACATGTGACAAGATTTCTCTTTGGTATAGTGGGGAATAGAACCTTTTGTGGGGGCTTTATTGTTGCTTTGCTCTACTTGTCACAGTGACCATGACTGTAATTGGCAGGAATAATTATAGGAACTTTATTTTCTAAACATTTTTTTTTTTTATAATCGTAACGTTATATTAAGGTTTATTACACTGGTAGATAAATTATATATTTTATTATTTTTTCTTTTCTGTGCAGGTATTGGGTAAGGACCACCCAGACGTAGCTAAACAACTGAACAACTTGGCCTTACTGTGTCAGAACCAAGGCAAATATGAGGAAGTGGAATACTATTACCAGAGAGCATTGGAGATTTACCAGACCAAATTGGGGCCAGATGATCCAAATGTGGCAAAAACTAAGAACAACCTGGTAACCTTTTAGAGATAAAATAATAGTTTTAAATCTTTGTGTGCTGTAGTAATAACCATACCCTTCTCTGGAAACACATGAACCCAATCATTTAGAGGGACGTCAACATACTTTGATAAAGTGGTTAAAGAGTCATACAGCAAAAGGCTAAATCCTTTGTTGTCTCTGCAGTTATAATTATTTATAATACATAGATAATCACATTTATAATAGGTTATGGATGGTTGGCTCTTGGCTAATGAGCATGGAAGACTGCTGGCTGGACCATAACAAATTGCCAAAAACTCTTGGTTGTATGGATTATACAGCAAGAAACAATAAAAAGCACCTCCCTAAGCTTGGTAAATGACCATTGTGTTAGAAATGCCCCCAATAATATGACTTGAAGTGGTTGATGCTATTAGGATAAGCTGCACCATAGGATCTGGGAAATTTAGCATCCAGTAGTATTAATAATCCTTAAATATTAATTTTTTTTTTTTGTTATAGCTGTGATCTGTGTTAAGTCATTTGGAAAACTCTAAGAAGGCATCGTAGACCAGACCTTTTGAACATTGCCGTAGTTGATACACCCATCCCAGTAGTCTTGAGTCTTGTCAGTTACAGCAATGCTGTCATGGAAGATTCCCTAAAACAGAATTTAAATTAATAAAAATGTTATCTTAAACATACAGTATTTATAGACCCTGGGTTATAGGCTTGTACCTTCAGGTGATTGGACATTGGCAAAACTTTTTAGGACGTACCTCCCCTATAACCTACCGGTGATGGACCTTTTCTCCCTTTATAAAGAAATCACTCTTGGCCTAAACGATAAGTTCTCCTTTGTAACATGTTACATCTGTAACATTTTACAATAATGCACCTGCCCACACACTCTTGATCCCTCATTGTGACAGCGGGTAAGGGATGCTCTTTCCGCACCCGCTGTCACAATTTGAGGTATGGCAGACAGCTGACTGAGAGTCTACAGGGTCCCGGAATTGCATCCTTGATCTGCTGATTGCTGATGCAATGCTTCACAGGCTGCAGGTTTTATCTGCAATACGATGTGCATTTTATTTTAATTTTGTTCTTTTACAAAAGGTGAACTTATCCTTTTAACTAGTTTATTTTATCTTTTTGATTTTTAAATCAATTCTTCACTATTTTTAATTCGAATAGAAGCAGTGCACCCAGATCAGTGCAACCTCATTTAAAATTATTACTCTTAAGGCTTAATTCTAGGTTTTTCATTTTTTTTTTCTTTTAATTCTCATGTTCTTTTGTAACTTTTCCTTCTGACGTATAATTAATAATGCCTCATTGTTCCAGGCTTCTTGCTATCTGAAACAAGGCAAGTTCAAGCAAGCTGAGACTTTGTACAAAGAAATCTTGACAAGAGCACATGAAAGGGAGTTTGGATCAGTTGACGGTAAGAGTTTGGGTTATAAAAAAATAAATAAAAAACTAATAAAACTATTAAAATTTTAAACCCTAATGCAGTGTTTTTTCCGTTGTGTATTTTTATACCTGGTGATTGTGTTAAAACCTATTGATTTGAAATTAGACCTTCTAGAATTAGTTACTTAACCCATTAGCAGTTTGTTAGTTTATCACTTTCAAGCTAAACAATGTTATATTGTGGCAATTTAAGCTATATTGGAAAATGCCATCTAGGACTTCAGTCCGATTGTATAGGGTATTTTAAAATGACAAATTCTTTGTTTTTAAAGTGATTCCATTAAAGCAGGACTTTCTTTAAATTTACATCAGCCTATATCGCTGTATGCTGATGTAAAATTATTTATTTTATTTTTTGCTTTACTTCCCTTTTTTTTTCTTCCACTTCCTGATTTCTCTGAAAGCAGTGATTACTTAGCCCTGGCTGCACAGATGCCCCCCGGAAAGGCGACATCACCATTTCTTTCAGGGAAATCCACTACCTAAAAGATCTCACAGTATTGTCATACTGTGCAAGTCTTCTTTCCCCCCAACAGATGCCCCAACAAATGTTGCTTCTACATTATTATTATACAGTATTTATATAGCGCCAGAAAGGTTTGCTCAGTGCTGTACATTATAGTGGGGGACAGAACATGAGACAATACAGTAACAAAACAATATACAAGGGGTTAGAGGGCCCTGCTCTTTCGAGCTTACAATCTAGGAATTACTCAGGCAGCGCTTATCAGCCCTGCCTGGTTCTTCAGTGTTAGACTACAGAACATGTATTCTTTTCCTTAACTTCATAACTTAAAGGGGCAGAGTTCTGTTGGCCAGCAGGGGAGAATTGGACCGGGCTATTTGTTTGGTATTTGCAGCCATTTTAAAGAGGTAAAACATGAGACACCTCTGCATGTATTGCAAAGATATAATGAATGTATATTCTATTTTCAAAAAAAATACTTATAATATACAGTAACATAGAAATGTGTTCCAGTAAGCTTTAAAAAGAATGTACTGTGTACATTATAGTACACGAACAGTCTTTTGTATCATTCTATTTACCTTTTTGTTGCTGCCAACAAAATGATTGCATAAGTGCCAGCACTGCAATGTAAACAAACTCCCAGCCTATGTAGCAGCCATGAGTTTATTTACCTTTTTGTTGGCTTTGTATCAGAAGTGATTCAGGTGGCTGCAATGCCCCCATCATATATGAATGCAAATATGCACGTCAGGTGTGCATGCACATGAAAGCAATTATTGCTCCACATTTGTTGGGTGTCACCATGCACACTGGAGTATGAGTAACCATTCTATGGCCATCATTCAGTGTTAACGTCAGGTTGATGAGCTAGTAAAGCATTTTTAAAGAGTTGCATGTGGACAGTTTTTGGTACTATAGTTTTTAACCATTTCTCAGGCCTGTGCAATTTTGGTTTTCCATTTACTTTGTGCAACCTCATCTTTTATATTTCACCAACAAATTGGGCAAACTATATGTGTGCTAAAATTAGTTTGTTAGCATTTTCTACTTAAAGTGCATATTTGATACACTGTAATGCAAATATTGTTTGAGATGGAAAAAAAATGCAACTACCACAATATTATTTTACAGGGTCTCTACTTTCAGAATTTTTTTCCCCCCAGAGTATAGTACATAAATCATGCCTTTCTCCTTTGGTTTGCCAGTCTGCCAGTTTTACTCTGACAGTACTTTTTTGATGAATTGACCTCCTCTTCTCTCCATTCTGAGGATTTGTTACGGTCTTCTGTGAGGGTGACAATTTGAGGAAGAAGATACAGATGCTTAAGAGTTTCCAGATGTTCTACATGCATGCAAGCAGTGAATGAAAATCAGTATCATTTACAGGCTGTACTCGTCCCCTGCTTCACAGTAAAGGATTTCTCTTCATTGTTTTTTGTGTTCTTGCAGATGAAAACAAACCTATCTGGATGCACGCCGAAGAAAGAGAAAAGTTCAAAGTAAGGTTTGCAGATTAGATGCTAATTGCAATTTTGGTGTTACGAAAAGATTGAAACTATACTCGTTTTTTTAACCTAAAGTGCTTACATTTTCCAACTTCCCAAAGCACTTGTTTATTTTAATTTACATAAATATTGTAAATATAGATTACATTCTCTATAATATATATTTATCTATTGATAGATATATATATATATATATATATATATCATAATAAATATTATATTTCAGCACAAATTGTCTGGATTTCTTTACTATATTGAACAGCTTATCTCTATTTTGGGTTTTTCGTGAAAACACTTAACTGTTTACCTCTTCAAATTCCTTGCATGTTATGGATCCCTTCTTAACATAGACAAAAAAAAACACCTTTGTGATTGCAAAGTTTTAAAAACTGGATTTTTTAGAAACGTGCCAATGTTTTAGATTTCTGAGAATTTAATTTATTTACTCTTTTGTATCTTATTTTTTAGGGTAAACAGAAGGATGGCACATTTGGCGAGTATGGAGGCTGGTATAAAGCATGCAAAGTTGACAGGTAAGTAAAGGTGAAAGTACTTTTGCTTGGTCACAGCTAATACTGCATTGCGAAGATGCTGTTATAATTAACATTCTTTACATACCTCCTCCAAATACATAATGTTACATTATCCTTAGTCCCACAGTGACCACTACCCTGAAAAACCTTGGAGCACTTTACAGACGTCAGGGCAAGTTTTGAAGCTGCAGAAACACTAGAAGAGGCAGCGATGAGGTCACGGAAACAGGTAATTGAGGTATCTGGTGTCCCCTGTCTAGGTTCTGCAGCTCACTGCTCTTTAGCATAGTGCAGTGTTGGTTGAAGAGGCCCATTTGATCATTACTTTTCTATCAGTATTTTAGAAGCCAAAGTTGTTTTCAAATTGTCCTATCTAAGCAACTTCCTTATGGTCAACAGTGGTTGATGATAAATGAAATAGAAGAAGTTGATCATTGCTGATTCCCTGCATAAGAGGCAGGTCGGGCCATGTAGCCTAGGTCTTTTACTGAACCTAAGCTTCGGGAAAGCAGCTACATACACAATTGAAGAACCCGATTTGTGATCCTACAGAGCTATCCCTGTGTAAAAGATCTAGATAGGAGGCTCTGGATCCAAGTGTAGATTGATCTCACAGTCAAGATATGAACCATTTTGAAGTGTTGAATAAGCTTTGTTTGGCCGTTCACAAACAAAGGCCTCTAGAAAGTTCCTTGGATTAAATTCAAAGGGTAAAAAAAAACCCAACAAATGAGAGCACCAGAGCAAATGTTGAGGTAACCGTGAAAAGTTAATTTCATCATCGCCAATAGACAAGCCAAGAGCAAACGCCAGCAGCTTTGCGATCAGCTGCTGGAGCCTATTGTTAATAGTGACATTTTTTAATGTTTTACATTTTCAACCCATTTAGGCCTAATCTTTATACCAGCAATTTTAAGCCCTGATAAAAGAACCGCTGAAACCTGTCGGCTAATGACAAAGCTTTTTATGTTCTCTCATCATTTCTCCTGGCAGTCCTGTTTTTCCTGTAACCCTTGGGAACCAGACAACCCAAGACATTACACTAAAACTAATATTATTAGGACGGATTTGGGTACTTCACATTAGTTTAACTTTAAAATACCTTTAACTCTTTGTTATATATACATAATCAAAAAGTGATTGATAATTATGTCCACACATTCCATTATACCACATATTCCAGATCTAGGATCCAAAATGTAGTGCTCCAAAATGCCTGTGTAGTCTAACAATTCCCCACAGATCTTCCTAAATTTTAAATCTTAGATATGTAGGATCAACAGATCCTGCTCTTTTAGTTTTGTAATAGACACAGCAGGTCTATCCTTACTGTTCTGATTGGACACAGCTCCAGGTCCCTCACATTTGCATTCTGTGATCCCCATTTGATCCCACTGACACAGAATGGAGCAGTTCCGTCAGTCAGAAAATCATATACAGTAAAAAAACAAAAAGAAAAAAAAATGAAGTTTCATGCTTTGTGTTAATTTTGTATTGGTGTACGGCCATGTGGCATTTGTGCTCATTGTCCTGGTGTTGGCATGCTGTGTTCAGTAGTCCATTTTTGAAGTGATTTGTGACTGAATCAGCGTGTTTCCCTGCTGGCTTACAGAGCTCAGTGTGATGCAGAAATGTGGAATCTATGATTTTTCATGAAATATGGTTGTAATTACAAGTTCATCTCAAATACAAACTTAATCTGGGCCATACATTTTACAATTTTCCTGTTCACTTTTTTTTAGATTTACCTGTCTGATTGCATACAAATTGAAAGTGTTTAAATTTGACCTCATAATATATGGTTTTGATAAATCTAAAAGAAAACTGTACAAAAAAATTGTATTAGTGCATGGGCAGTTTTTGGTTTGGGAAACAGGATAGCAAGCCTACGATAAAAGCTTTAAAATCACCTTGGACTCATTTCGGCCTTTCTCTGTGTTAGGATAATAAAGAGAACATCTTTGCATTTCCCATGGTCCATTCTTGCTGTTTCAGAACAGGCTAATTTAGAGAACTTCTTTTCTAGCTGAAACATGCTAGAAAGCATTTCCTGAGTTCTGGTCAAACTTGTACCCTGATCATAACATTAGGAAAGTCCACTTGTGCTATTAAAGTGTATCTCCAGTTTGAATACAGTGGGTAAGATGTAGAACATCAATGAGGTTTTTACTGTACTTGCCAATGTTGTCACCTTGACAGGAAGTGAGGAGCAATCTCCAAGAGGCAGACAAACCACAAAAAAGACTCTCAAGGCAAAGTGAAAGGTTATTTTGTTTGAAAATCCCCCAGCCTGCCATGTACTCTGCCGCCTTGTTGCTCCTCCATCAGAACACAACATTGTGTAAACACTGCGTTTGGTGTTGTAGCTTACAGGGGGGTAACTTCTTTTACTTTTTGGTCAAGGGACTGTGTTTAGGCCTGGCATTTTGCAGCTAGGTCTGAGCACTGCATTCTGAGAGGAGGTCGCATGTGCCTCCATCTCCGAAAGTACTGGGTATTTACCAATGCTCCAGAGTAAGGAGAAGTTGGGGGAGAGCTTTCATACAGAATTCGGGGAAGTAGAACGGGAAGTTTATGTGGGTAGCTACTGCACAGATTGTAATGGGATGGCCGCTATTAACTTCATAGTGGAGATTTGTAGCAGCTTCAAATTTGCCTTATCTTTGTTAGTTTTTAGTTGGATTTCTAGTTGCTGCAGACTTCAGAAATACACTAAATTCTTCATAAAGAAAAATGGGGTTAGTGCCCTCTACCTTCTGCTTTGCACCCTAAACAAGGCCTCTTTATTTCTGTATCATCACACGAGTTCTGGTGGCAGCTTTGTGGAATGTTTCGTGTTATGATTATGTCAAGGTATGGGAGTCTGTTACAGATCCCTGTCCCTGGAAAGGAAACCAGAATCAAATTTTGAGGTCTTCCTTTCCAGGCCTTGACCTTTTACAGTCACTCTATGTTCTTCTAACATAAATCTCAGGGGCTTTCTCCCTTTACTTGTAACACAAGGGTCCTGTCTCACAGGGACTAGACAATGTCCACAAGCAGCGAGTGGCTGAAGTTTTAAATGACCCAGAAAGCATTGAGAAGAGGAGGAGCCGGGAGAGCCTTGATGTGGTAAAGTACGAGAGCGGTCCAGACGGAGGGGAAGAAGTGAGTATGAGCGTAGAGTGGAACGGGGTAAGTGCAGTACACAGTGTGGCCAAATAATGGACAATCTTGCTTTATAACCAATCTAAAACACATTAACGTGATCCGCATGCTGGTATAATCCCGTTCTGTAATAACAATAATGTACAGCAAGCCTCCTTTCTGATATGCTGATATTTCCATAATCTTTCATCTGGCCTCTTTCCTTTGTCTTATGATGCTGATTGAATGTTTAATTGGTTTCCTGTTTTTTCCTTTAGTATAGATAGTAGTAATAAAACAGCAATTTACAAAGACCAGTATTCTGCAGCAACCAAAGTTCATTATTTACTTGACGCCCAATTTGAACTCACGTATAAAGCTGTCAATAGCTTCCTGGTACAGTATAACAGTAACCTGTACCTTTTCAAAAATTTATACTGCACCATGTTTCATTGATGTGAACGGGCACCATGGAGAATAATATGATTTCCGTTGTCATGCATGACAGCAGACGTGGGCGAAATCACACTTGTGTCCTAAATGGACCTAAAACAGCCTGTCTCCTGCCTGCATGGAAGCAGTAGCACCTCAGCAACTGTTTGACATGACGTCTGTGAGTCTAGTTTTATACTAGAGTTCAGTTGGACTTTAAGTAAACTGAAATGTGCTCAGCATTGTTGTTCTATGTTCTTCTGCATTTTAGAAGTCTGAGTAGCTTTCTAGCAATTAGAAATAAGACTTCTAATGTAAACTGATAGAACTGTTGGTCTTTTGTAATGTTTAGTGCTGTTTGTGTAATATTTGACTTCTAATCCTGCTAGCTTTTAGTTTGATCTTCACACTGTCAATTCCCCCCACAAATCTATATTCCATTCTAGATAGTGGATGGCAAGCAAACCTTGCTTGAAAATTTTTAATTTGTATGGGAATTTTTATTTTTTACAAGTCAATGCTTCTTGTGACTGAAAAAGCAAAAATCTTAAGGGACACGCCTTGTCATTTGTTAGTGCTCTAACTGCTTGGCAAGAAGGCCAATGGGGTCCCTAAGATCAGTGGTTTCCAATGTTTTAGAGACCAGGGCTTGAATAATTCTCTAAAAACCTTCCAAAAAATAAAATACAATGAAAGTATGGAGATTCAAAATATGTAGCGAAGTGCTGCAAGACTCTGAATGTAGTTGGGTGTCACTGTTTGCAAGGGGGATGAGGTTTCTGGAGTGGTTAGAGCACTCTGCAGTAGACTTGGTTCCCCTGTAGGGGATGAGGTTTTTGGGGGCATTATGGGGTGGGGGGCTGTAGTCATTGTCTCAGACTTGGGGGACGCTGGAGGATGAGGGCTCTTGGGAAACCTGGGGGTATATATCTGCTTTTGAGGCACAGAAAGCACTTTATATGCATCTACAACTAAAACTTCTTATGGGAGATTATAGACCTGGCAAGTTTCTTATTTTAAATTTTTTTTCTTTAAGCTGACCCCAATAACCCGCGTGTATCGAGATAGATATATATAGATATAGATATATATAGATATAGATATAGATATATATATATATATATATAATATATATATATTTTTTTTTTTTAACCACTTCCCGACCGGCCGTTGTATATAAACGGCCGGACGGTGGCACTGCAGGGTCGGGTGGCCGTCTATAAACGGCCTCCCCGCACCCTGCTTGTGTGCGCTCCCTGGGAGCGCGCAGCACCGCGATCCGGTGCCCGCTGTGTGAAACACCGATCATCGGACGGGACCTCTGTACGAGGTCCCGATCATGTGATCACTGATTGGCCAATCAGTGATCACATGCAAAGTAGTAAGCAAGATGTCACTTCTGACATCATTGCTTACTATGTGTGAAATCTGTGAATGATCACAGAGGTCACATGGTACAAGGCTATTCACAAAAGCCTTGTACCATGTGACAAGCTGTGACCAATCACAGCTCACTCTGTATTTCTCAATGAGTGCAGGAATGCACACAGAGAGAAAGAGAAATGATTGCTTTTACATCCTATATGGGTGTAAAAGCAGTCAGTGTATAAAAAAAAAAAAAAATCTTTATCACCCCTCACAAGTAGTACAGTGTCACCATGGTGACACTGTACTGCTAGGGTGACAGTATGTAAAAAAAAAAATAAATAAAAAATAATATAAAAAAATAAAATAAAAATGTAAAAAAAATGTTTAAAAATTATAATTTTTGCTTATAAACTAATTTGGATTTTTTTTTTTTTACTAAAAAGATAACGGAATAAATTTTGGCTAAGATTTATGATGAAATATTATTTATTTGCAAAATTTTATTAAAAAAACACTTTTTTAAAAATTTTTTGGACATTTCATTTACATAGCAAAAAAAATACAAATCCCAGTGGTGAATAAATACCACCAAAATAAAGCTTTATCTATCTAAAAAAAATGGTAAAAAATTCATTTGGGTACAGTGTTGCATGACCGCACAATTGTCATTCAAAGTGTGATAGCGCTAAAAGCTGAAAATTGCCCTGGTCAGGAAGGGGGTAAAAGTGTCCGGTCTGGAAGTGGTTAAAGCTGACCCCACTACAATCTGATACATCAGAACCTGACCATACAAATTTTGTTCTGGCCTTGCAGGATAGCCCACTAACAGGTTCTAGTTTCTTTGGAAATTGTAAAGCAATTTTGATGTTACACTGAGTGTTCTGGAGACACCCAGATTCCAACTCTTCATCATTTCCTACTAGGTTGCTCCTTCAAAAAGGGTTAATAAAAATTTTTTTTTTTTTTTTTTTGCCCTCTCTTTTTATTAATACCCCACTACTGTTTTCTTTACACCGGGACAATCAATCAGCATATATTCCACCTTCATACAATTTCCTGTAATCAATACCATGACGATAAAAAGCATGGGATACTGCCTAATCTGAACTGCTGATTTATACTGTGTACTGTACTCTTCCCTTCATTTCTTCTGTACTTCTGCATGTTGTGCTGTTTTCAGCTTGTTACTGTTTGGTGAGTTAATATTTTGGTATTTAACATGAAATAAAGAGTATTTCTAGGTCTCTGAATTGGGCCTAAAGCCATTTGTTTTTGGATGTACGGTAACAAAGTAACCAGGCTGGTAATGATATACTTGCCTCTTGCAGCTGCAGTCTCTGACAAAACTGGAGCAAAGTGACATTCATTCAGTGTAGATGATCAGTTCTCAGACAGTTCTATATGTATCCCAGTGGGAACTCCTATCAGGTTTTAGAGATAAATTTGTTGTATCCACAGATTCAGTAAATAAGTCTTTTGGCAGAACAAATGTTTTTAATTTAAATCCAAGACATTCTGTGGAAAATACACAATAAGTGACACTGGTAAGAATGTAAAGAGTACATTACATTAATTTGGATAATGCACACCACGGGGTACTAGTGAACACTGGCTTCTGTAAAGGGTTACATGCTTTATATCAGACCTCTGTCCGTAATTAAAGCACATAAAAATATACACTCCCAAACTGACGCAGAACATAATGCTTGTTTATAAGGGGTGTTGTCATAGCAATTTCTGGAGTCCTGGAAGATAGCATGAGGTGCCTACAGTTATTTTCTAATAGGTTTGTTTCAAGTGGGGCATAAGTGGTCAGTGTTTATCCTCCACAGGAACGTCATAGCAGCCTAGAAAGTCAGGCCCAGGAGGGCAGATATATAGACTGCATTGGCTGGTTCCTGCTTGGCATCCTTTGTGAATTTGATTGCCTAGTGAGTGACAAAAGCTTCATATAAACCTTTCTTCATAAAGGTGCCCACAGACTTGTGTGTTCCTTCATTAGTCAAGGCCAAAGCTCTGTAGACACATGGCCATCACAACTATAGGAGTTCAGTGGACATCCCAGTGCCAAAACCATGGGCATTAAAGCCTAAGTTCACTAAAGATTAAAAAATAAAAAAAAGCAGCAAAGTCAGCACAAGGGACATCCTCTTCAATTAGCCCCCCCCCCTTCCATGAACTTGTGGTGGGTTAATGAAGCTGACAGAGCTGTGACAGATGCTGATCAAAAATGATCCTATCAACTGCAGCTTCTACGACTGAAATGTGATTTATGAATGGAGGAGGAAGACCTTTTTCAATCATCCATCCGTCCTGCATTAATCATGTTTCATTTATAGATGCTATAGGTACTTCTCCTATGATTAAAGGAGGTGGGTGGAAAGGGCAGGCACTCTTTATGAGTGGTACAACTCTACCAGCTCTGGAGTCAGAGGAAGAGGATTTCTACTAAAGGAGAAGACAGCAGCATGAGGTACACATGGCATAATTCATAAATAATGTCCCTTCTACTTTTAATTTTTTTTAAAGTTGGGCTTCAATTTGGGGATGGTTAATTTTCATTTCTTGCCTGTAACAGCTGCTACTCTTCTGGAAAGGCTTTCCAGAAGCTTTTGGATTGTTTTGCTGGTAATTTGTGCCAATTTAGAAAAAAGTGCATTTGTAAGGTTAGGTACTGATGTTGGATAAGAAGGCATGGGTCTCAGTTAGCATTTCCAAAATCGTCCAGAACATGGAGTGGAGATCAGGCCTCTGTGAAGGCCACTTGAGTTCCTCCACATCAAACTCCTCAATCCATATTGTTAATGAAGCTGGATTTGGGCATGAGACACTAAAGGACCTTCCCCAAATTTTTGTGCACAATTGTCTAACATGTATTTACATGATGTAGCATTAACAGCACCCTTCACTGGGATCACCAGAGTTCAATATTTTGCAAGTTGTTCACATGCTTTTAGCCATATGAGTAGATATAAAGGCCCGTCTTCAGACTATTGCCCATAAAGTTTTATATAGGCCTTCCTTGTTGCGGTTTTGCATAGAGTGTATTAGAAGATACCAGGTTAATGAATCTGATATGTACAAACATACAGTCACAGACAACATGTAGAAATGGTGAAGGAGATTAGTAGGTGAACTTCCATGCAGTGGATCTGCAGGGCAAGCAAATATTAGATATTATTTTTGCCAGCCTGGTTTCCTTATTACCCTTTTATCAAAACTAAGGTATTTGTAATTATGGAAAAAAA